TATGAGATAAAGGTTCAAAATCTTTGCCTCCAGGAAGAAACTTAGTTTCACTCTCTAAGAACTGTTTGTTTTCTTGGCAGTCCATAGTATGTTTAATACTCTTTTCCAGCACCACAACTCAAAGGCATTGATTCTTCTTCTGTCATCCTTCTTCATTGTCCAACTCTCTGATGCGTAACAAGTAATTGCAAAGACCATGACCTAGACCTGACATACTTTAGCCTCTAGACTATTATCATTGTTCTTTAGTTCTTTGGTGAGGTCCCCGACAGCAGACTTTTCTGATGTAATTTGTCTTGACTTCCTGTGTGCTGGTGACAAGTATATTGATTGTGGAGCTGAACAAGCTGAAACTGTTAACAACCTCAATATGTTCTCTTTCTATCATGGTACTGCCAGTTGGAATCTTTGTCCTCTCTCTCTCTCTCTCTCTGTGCGTGTGTGTGTGTGTGTGTGTGTAAAATATTTGTCTTCTTGATGTTGAGCTTCAATCCATATTGAAAACTTCAGTTCTTGACCTTCTGCAGCAAGTGCTTACGGTCCTGTTATTGTCAGTATTGTCCACTGAGGAGAACCAGAATATTGACAGCTGACATTTATTGTACATTCTACTATGCACTATGTTAAGTGTGTCATATGCAATATCCCAATTTTTACTCCCAATAACTCTCCGAGGCAAATAATATGATTAATACCATTTTCAAATTAAATGCATGAGGTGTAGAAATAGTAAATAAGTTGTTAGTTAGCCCATAACAACTCAAACCCAAGCTGTTGGACTCTGGCAACCACATTCTTCCCTATTACTCTCTACTTTCTTACATGGCTCAGCAGTAATGTTTGGGAAGAAATAGTGTTTTGACTCAGGCTCACATGTTTAGAACCACCCCTGGAATAACACACTGAGCTGGTGGTATAGGTATAAGACTTCCCATTTCCTATACCTCTAGTAACATTTTCAACCTCTTTTGATGTTAATGTAAATAAAACAAAATATTTTTTTAATGTCACTTTTAGTTTTTTGGTGTTTACTGAAAAAAGGGAGAATCTTTGGACATGCAACTATTTGGCCACAGATTCCAAAAGCCACATCCTAAGTACTCATGGAGTTTCTTTTATCTTGTGCAATTTTGGATAGATTAAGTTTTTTGTCCTCTACTTCATACTACATACTCCATAATCAACAATCTTGGTACCAGCAGCCAAGAAAGCAAGAGATGAATTGCACTAGGAAAGTCGGCTATCAGGGGATCTTTCCAGAGTACTGAAGAGCAACAGTGTCAGTCTGGAGATTAAGATGTGTCTGCAACTGCTTGCTATGCATCAGAGAGCTGGACAGTGACAAGGGAAGACAGAAAGAGAATTAATGCCTTGGAGCGGTGGTGCTAAAGAAGAGTGATGAGTATACCATGGGCTACTAGGAGAACAAATAGGTTCATCCTAGAGGGGGTGAAGCCAGTCTGGTCCTTGGATGCAAGGATTCTGAGGCTTCCTTCTGACATAATTTGGGTATGCTTCAAGGAGGCACCAGTCCTTGGAGAGGGACATTGTGCTTGGAAGTGTGGAAGGATGGAGAAAGAGAGGGAGACCATTGATGAGATGGGTTATACAGTGACTGGGATAATGAGGGTAGGTGTATCAGAGATAGTCAAGTTGGCACAGGATAGAGCCAGTTTCAGAGCTTTTGTACATAGGGTCACTGTGAATTGCAAGTGACTTGATGGCACATAACAACAACAACTTCATACTACAACATTGCGCTGGAGCATGATAGAGATCATGATCAGGTACAGGATAAGGTGACATTCAATAGAGTTGTTATGAGTGGTAGCTGACTCAATATTCCTAACAATAATGCACATTTGTTGTTGTTGTTGTTGGGTACTGTTGAGTCAGAACTGACCCAGTAAATCACATGGGAAGAGATTATACAACCTTCTTCTGTGGAACAGCTGGTGGATTTGAACCACATGCCTTTGGGATTGTCTTGGGATTCTTACCACTAGGCCACTAGTTGTGTGGTGGTGGTGGTGGTGGTGGTGGTGGTGGTGGTGTATACTATCGAGTCAGAACTGACCCATAGCTAACTGTCCAGTGGGTTTTCAGAGATAGTAAGTTGCATGGCAGGAGATTGTCTACTAGGCCACCAGAACTCCATTGTTACATATATAATCGTATAGAATATACATCACAGGCAACTCCATGGTACATAATAACAATAACATGCTATAACAGGTTTGGAAGCAGGAGTTGCATCCACTTCCTAAATAACATGCCTCCAGAAACTCTATGAACTTTGATAAATTCAATAGTTGTAGAGGGGATTCAGGCCTTTTGTTCATGAGGTCACTATGAACCGTGCTCAACTCAAAGGCAGTCAACAACAACAAAAACAACTATTATAACTATTTATCCTCTAAGTGTGAATTATTCTATTTATATTGAATTCATCTTAAATTAATCTTAACCAGAGCATGTTGATAAGACTTTAAAAGGTATATCCATTATTATTTTAGTTATAGCAGTAGCTCTGTTTTAAGGAAGAGGTCTAGATGTTCTGAGTTCTATCACTCAAATGTTCAATATTATTAACATGAATAAATTGTATAATACTTTTAAATGAACTAATTCTCCTATGCAAATACTCACTGAAATTATTTTTTAACTTATCATCTTGAAACTTGAACCTATTAAAATATTAATTCATTCTTCTTGTAGATGAATATTCTACTGCCACTGGTTTTGCATAGTTTTAGATGTTATCCATCCTTCCTTTTTTCTGATAAAGCTCCCCCCCTCTTTTCAATTTTGCCATCTCAATGTGGACTATTTTCTGTCTCTAGGGAAGTGGATAGAATGTGTTTAAATTTTTAGGTAAGTAGTGAATAGGGAATTCTGATGGCCTAATGGTAAGAATCTGCGTTATAATCCTGAAGACATGTGGTTTGAATCCACCAGCTACTCTGTTATTGCTGCCTCTGAAAACCCAGTGGAGGGTCATCTATGGGTCAGTTCTGACTTGATTAACACATGACAATAATAACAGCAAAAAGACAGAACTGACTTAAGACTGTCTTTGGGACATAATCCCATCATTGGGAAAATATGAAGAGCATATTAGTCATGGTATCTGGTCTGAAGATGTGTATGGTATAAGGAGATAAACACCAGATCATATTTTCATAATGGGAAAATTTTTAAAAAGAGAATGTTTTGGTTATTAATTGCCACCAAGCTGGACTCTGCACTGAAACACTTTCTCAGAATCAGTTGTAGTGTAGACCGTTGTTATTTGTAGTTTTCATTGACTTGCTTTTGGGAGTCTATTTGCAGACCTTCTTTCCTAGTCTTTGGCTGGAATTTCCTCTGAAACTTGTTTAGCATCATAGCAGCACATAAGCCTCCATTGATGTATGGACGGTGAATCCATTTGAGGTCCATTAGGTGGGAATTGAACCTGGGTCTCCTGTATGAAAGATCAATAAACCACCACTGCCCTTCAATAAGACTGGTGAGCAGGACAAAAATAAAATTAGAGAAGTTCATATATTAGAAGAGTAATAATGGATTCCTTTTAAGGATTCTTTTCTTTCTTTTCTTTTTTTTTAAATATTTTGAGTCTATGCTATGTAATTCGAAATAGTGATATTTGACCTAATCCACCTATAATGGATAAATGAGTTTGGGCTTCCAAAATGAAAATAACCAAACACACTCCCACTGAATGGATTCTGACTCATAGTAACCCCATAGGGCAAAGCAGAAGACCTGCTCTCCAAGGTTATGGTAAGTCTTTATGGAATAAGGCTGCCTCACCTTTCCCCAGCAGAGTAACTTGTGGTTCCAAACTGCCAACCTTTGGTCAGGCAACCAAATACCACCAGAATTCCTTCTTGAGCTTCCAAGGAAAAGCCAATGAGAACAGAACATGAGGTTAGAAAAGGCCCTGAGTCTGCAAGCCACAATAGCACTGGGCCCTTCAGTGGCCAGAGGCACCAGTTCATGACTTCGGATAAGGCAGAAAGGTAATTAACCAATAAGACACAAGGTGTTCCTGAAAAGAGGAGTTCACGCACCTGATTACTAATTAATCAGGCGTAAGAGCACCTTGTAGATGCATTCACTATTTAATTATAGCAGCCTTTCTTGGCAAAGGAGCATATGTTCCTGGCTTAATCTACTGGTTTATACTGACATCAAATTGTCATTATCAGAAAGAATCAGGCCTTTTGATTATTTCCACTAATTTATTGAACACTTAAAATTAATGAACCCCAGGCCTTTTAAATGTGCTCAGTTGGTTTGGAAGATGGGAGGAAAAACGGAGGGTAAAGAAAAACCTTCATTAAAAGGACAATTTGTTTGGATAAAGGTAAAGCAAATACATTTCATGGGTGATCTGAACTCCATTGGTGGAAAACACATGAATTCTAAAAGCTGAGCTTTTGAAATGATGAAGAGGAAATAGGATATGAGGTGTGGCCTGCTGGCCATGTTTTTTCTTCAAAAAGCATCTGGCTAACGGTTTTCCTTTATTTTTCCTAATTATTTATGTACTGATTCTCTAGAAGATATTGCTACAATTAAGTTTAATCAAATAAAAGCAATTAAAATGAAATGTTAATGTCGATAGTCAGATGACTAAAAAAGATTTCAGGTTTTTTAAAATGAAATTATTCTAGTTTCTTACAATATACATAGTAGAACATAAATGAATTCAACAATTCTTTGTGTACCATTATGTGGCATTGATTATATTATGTGGTATTGATTACATTCTTCAAGTCATGTAACCATTCTCACATTCCTTTCCCAAACAGTAAAGATTTCAGTTTTTCATTTTGACAATTTAGTGACAATTGACAATTTGACAATTTTCATTTTTTTACAATTAATTAGGGAGAATTTAATATAAATCTGTCTTCTTACATGTGAGTATCTTTTGCCTTAAGATCAACCTTGCATTGTGCCTAAATTTTAGTTGTCATTTCTGTATTCAGTTTCAGGTGAAGGCCAAGTTCAAGTGACTCTGCAGGTGAAGGAAGGTGTGCCCCCAACCATTTCAGATGAGCCTCCAACACTTTCAGGTGAGCACTAACCCTCTAAATTGATGTGCTACTAAAGCAGACTGAACTTCAATAATTCTTCAAATTCTTTCTCTATGTCTTATTTCTAGATGGACAGGTTATCAGTCCTAATGTTCATTCCTAACAATAGTTTCTCTTGTGTCACTGTAATACTTAATGTGTTTGCATGTTGAAGAGTGAGACATAAGGGCATGTTTATGTTTTAAAACAGTGGAAAGAATTAAAACATGTAAATAAGCACATTTTATAAATTATGGGCCATATGTGCATGCAGGAGTCCGGATCTGCAGATGGGTCATTAGGCCTCCACCAAGTGCAAAGAAAAATTCAGGGTATCTCAATACTGTAATTGTTCCCAGTAATTTAAGAAAAACAGGGCAAATGAACCCTCCCAAAAGTCAGATGGTTCTATGAAGTCTTTTTAACTCATACAAGCCAAATTCTCAAAGTCTAAATGCCTATAAGCACCTTATAAAGTATTCCACTGTTTGTTTTTGTTTATTCTAAGTCAGTTTAACTACACATTTCCAGCCAGGGTGCATCTTTTCAAAGACTGACTTTTCCTTTGATTTTTTTTTAAGGCGTTCTTTTGCATTATGTGAGAACAGAGCCCATGCTAATCATAAAATTATCTAATTCCTCTAATTAAACAAATTCATGAGGTAAAGGTAGTAGGTTAAAACCATAAACTGAAGGTATTGATGCATTTTGCTCGATGCTTATTATGAATGTGATTCTGAGGTTTTTTTTAAATAACAATTTCTGAGCTATCATAGTGCTTTGCTCCTTATGAACTTGCTGTTTATTTATCGTTTTCTTTTGAGTGACTCAAGTTGTACTGTTAATTGAGGGTATCTTGGGCTCTAGTGGTTTGGTAGATAAGGAGTTGCACTGCTATTCCAAAGGTGAGAAGTTCAAATCCACTAGCTGTTCCATGGGAGAAAGATGGCCAATCTCCTTCTGACTATTTACAGTCTCTGAAAATCTGCATTAGGGTCAGCTTTGAGTTCATTCTCAAGGGAAATTTGGGTGATATGGTGACCAAAATGGAATGGTCTTTCACTTCATGGAATCTTACATTCTTTTAGAGATAGAAATAAAATTTTTTATAATCCATTAATATGTTTCTGATAACTGTAACCAAGAAAATAATATTCTGCAATTCTCTCATTTTGAAAGTATTGTGTTTAAATTCTCTATAAGAGATTGAATTGGTTGTGTCAGTTCCCAATTTTTTGTTTATTTGGGTTTTTTCCCCCTCCACTTTATTAGTTTGTTTACAAAATTAGAATACAGATTTGAACAAATTCTTTCAATTTCCCTAGTCCCCCACCCATCAAATTATACAACCTGATGATTAATATTAATCTCCTCTTCCCCCTGGATATCCACATTCCTTTTCTTCCAGCCTCTCTCACCCGTCTTGGATCCTTATACTCATTCTACAATAATGGTTTTATACAATATTTATCCTTGTGGGACTGAGTTAGTTCACTCAGCATAATGGTTTCCAGTCCCTCCCAAGTTAGGTAATAATTTACAAAATCATTTGTCCTGCCTGCTATGGTGAAAATGATAATACTACCAAAAGAAATCTGCATGTTCAATGCAATCCAATCCAGATACCAAATTCATTTTTCAAGGAGATTATAAGGGAAATTACCTAATTTATTTGGAGAGGCAAGAGACCCTGAATAAGCAAAACACTTCTGAGAAACAAAAATTAGGTTGGAGGTATAGCACTCCCTGACCTCAAAACCTCCTACTACACAGCAGTAGTAACCAAAACAGAATGGTATTGGTACAATGACAGGCACATAGACCAATGGAACAGAATTGAGAACTCAGAAATAGATCTAGCTATCTACGGTCAACTGATATTTGACAAGGAAATCAAAGCTATCAAATGAGGAAATGATAACCTCTTTAACAAATGGTCCTGGCAAAACTGGGCTTCCACCTGCAGAAAGCTGAGACAGGATCCACATCTCACACTATACATAAAGATCAACCCAGTTCCTAGTTTTGGAAGGAAAAACTTTGGTGAGGGCTCTTTTGCCAGGTCATTCCACATTTACTTGAAGATTTCTGTGTACGGAACTAGTTGAAAGGACGTTGTGGGTGATCAATAACCATGATGATATCTGAAAAAGGGACTGGTTCATTGCTTAATTTTACAAATGTGGATGAAAAAACTTAGAGGTGGAATAATCATATCAGTAATCAGTGAATTGAACCTGGATTAGAATTTAGGTTTTCCAATTCAGTCCAGTGTTCTTTCTGCTAAACCATGTAATCTTAAAGGTGTTTAAATTACTTTCTTTTTAAAAAGTACTGGAAAAGTACTTCTTTTCCAATTGGCCAAGTAGCCATCTTCCAAATTTCTCAGCATAGCCTAGTGAGAATATCCAAGGCTTGATCAATTTTTTGCAACATATTTTTAATCAGTTTCTGAGACTTTCTTTTTTTACCAATGCCTTCAGTATAGTTTTAACTTCTGGCTTAGTTATCACTGGTTCTTGGTTGTATGTTACTTCCTGAAACTTTTAATGTTGATCAATTCTTCTTGGTACAATGACTCTGCATATTCAAAAGACCCTTTGAGAAATCTGCTGCCAAGGACCTTTCCAAAATGCTACACTGTGAGGATATTAGTTTAAAAACCAAGGTGCTTTTGATCCAAGTCCTGTTGTTGTTGTTGTTGTTATGTGCCGTCGAGTCATTTT